ATTATTATGTACGTCATAGTAGGTCATAAAATGTGATTTCTACAAAGAAAAGTATTTCTAACAAGTTTTTTTTAACAAACACATTTTTATGATTTATACTTTTAAATTACTTTAATATAACAAATTAACATTTATATTTCATTCACACACACACACATATATATATATATATATATATATATATATATATTCTCTACGGATGTCATATAACAACGGTTATAAAGAGACTATAATAAAAAAATTTGATCGCCGACAATTTTATCTAATAACAATTGTTTTTTATCGTTGTTTTATGTATCATATGCTATAGTTAATTTTTAGCCATTATACTATTTACCTTACAATAACTATGCTTAATGAAACTATTAGCATATAATATACAATTCGATGGCTCTATTTACAACTTTGATCATAAAATGATGATTGTATACACATCCATCATTAAAAATCTAATGACGATGAACACATACAATGATGATTCTATATATATCCATCACTAAAAATCGTTAGTTTTAATGACCGTCCGAACAATGACCATTTTAAAATCATTATTATGAAATATTTTTAATCGTCATTAAAATTCTATTTCTCAGTGGTTGTTATGAGAGATTTTTAATTTTCATTAAAATTCTATTTTTCAATGGTGTAACTTTTTTATTTTAATAAAATTCTAAGAGATATAACTTATTTAATAAAAAAGTGTAACTTATTTATTGACTTAAACCTCAAAATTTTGAGTTTTCCATTCAATCGTAATAGTAATAGAGGTGAGTTTATTAAGAGTGGAGCTCCAAATAGAAAATTTGATTAAATTTTTTATTGCAAGACTTTGCCAAAAATTTGTTTATTTTTCTTCTTTCTTCATATCCACCCAACTAATAGAGGACTAGATTCTCTTCACCTTTCTCTTGTCAGAGTGAATTCACAGTATAAAGTTTTTTCTAGATGTAAACATATACTTCTTTCTATAAATTCTATTTCTTTCTCTTCATCATCTACGGAAAAGTGCATGCATGTAGGATTTGTTTGAGAAAAACAAGGATTTTTTTGTGCAATTAAGTATATATGGGATATTTGATGATTACAAAGTTTTGAAGTGATAGAAGAGTTTTAAAATTTCAATTTGACTTGTATACAATGAATGTTCCGAGTCGGGATCCTTGCATGTGAATAATATTTAGCTCATTTTAAAAGTTTGTTGAATTTTTGGGTTAGACGATTTATATTGTTGAATTTATGTATTTGGATTTGTTTTGTGATTAATTTAACTAAATTGAACTGTAAAACAGTAAATTATTCATAAAGTTAAATTAAATTGCTATATTAATTTAATTTAAAAAATGAGTTATCTATGAATGGATCTTTTTTAACTACATTGATTTATAGTTTATGAGACAGAAAATATTTTTGCGAGGACAATGATGACGTAGAAGAAGCACAGTTTGAGACTGTATATATACCCTCTCCCACCAAACTACAAATGAAATGGTTGGTGAATTTTTTATTATGTCTTTCAATGTAACAAGACACATAGTTTAGATTTAAAGATAATAATTTATTGTCCTGTTAACGCTATTTTTATCTTTTTAAATTACATATTTATCATATTAATAAAATATAATTCAAAAAATATTTTTAGGCCTGTTTTAAAATGTGTTTGATTAACTTTTCATCATTCAAAAATATTAAATTTTAATATTTTTACTTACATTTTAATGAATATATTAATACAAAATCTCATGCGAAAATGAAAAAAATTCCGTCCAATGGACAGCTCTAATAAATAAAAGAAAAAAACATTTAGAATGTGGTTATATGTTGGAACATGTGTATGGAAGAAAGGAGTTGTGAGGTTGTCGCGGAGGAATGGCAAGACCCGGTAATTAGAGGGAAACACAAGGGTGAGATTATTGAAGCAAAACAGCCAGTTCTACATTTGTTGCGACCTAACTTCCTCTCTCTACCTTCAAACTTTCCGACGTAAGAAACAACACGACAAAACCATCTCGTTGCTGCTAGCTGCTTACTTTTACTTCTTCCACCTGTATATAAATATATTTGCACGTAAGGCTCTTCATCCAACCCATCCTTCTCTTTCTCTCTTTTTCTCGGAAACGTTACTAACTGCGATGGCAAAGAATGTGGGGATTCTCGCTATTGACATCTATTTCCCTCCTACTTGTATTCAACAGGTAAACGCATCTATATTTCAATCTTAATTTCACTTTTATATTTTCCTTAATCCCATCATTTACACACAACTCATCACGCGCGTGTTTGTTTTCTCACGATTAACGAATAATAAGGAAACTGTCACAGAAGTTCAGTACAGGAATTAATTTTGTTTACCGATTTTTGCTCATGATTGAATAATGAAGATCGTCTCATGAACGTTAGTTGTTTGTAGTTTTCAGTAGCCAATTGCACAAGGGCCTCACAAAATTGTTATGCGTTTTTCTTATCACTATTGAAAAGGACTGGGCCTTACTGAGCCATGATTTCTAGTTTTCATATATTGTGTTCTGTGACTCACATAACATAACTCTGTTTTCTGCGGGAAAAATCGTGAGATCTTCTTAAATTTTATCGTAATCCAAATTATGGCGTGTTCGGTTCTCCATTTGTCGGCAGCAGAAGGGAAGGGAAAGAACATGACTTGTTGTTGTAGATTATTATGGCTTATACGATACGCATCCATTTGTTTTGTTATCTTGCTGATGTAAATTGAAGTTCTCCACACTTTTTGTCTGTTTCCTTTATAGTAATGTTTTCACTTCTTCACTTGTGCAGGAAGTGCTGGAGACTCATGATGGTGCCAGTAAAGGGAAATACACTATTGGACTTGGTCAAGATTGCATGGCGTTTTGTACAGAAGTAGAAGATGTCATTTCGATGAGGTTTCTGCTTTGGATTTTATAAATCTTTATAGTTTAATTATGCCTATAGTATAGATTATTAGATGCTTATTCTGTTTGGACTTGCCATTGTATATAATCACTATTGAAGCTTCCTCAGTAAGAGATTTAATGTGAGGAGAGACACGACAAACATGTATAACAATAATGACATGAAGAAATATACATGCACAGTTGGGAACAAGCAGCATCTGGGGAGGGCTTAAAACAAACGTAGGACTAAGACTAAAGGGAAACTCAGATTTTTGAGACATAAAGCCATTAGTACTAAAAAAAGTTTGAGACCTTTTTTTTGGAGATTTAAAGTAATTAGTAGTAAAAAACAAATTTTTTGAGTCTTTTTTTCTTAGAGGGCTTAAGCAAAAGCTTTATCTAACTTAGACCTTGAGCCGGCTCCGTTGGGAAGCCATCGCATACCCGTTGCCCCTTTCTGCCTCTGCTTGAAATCTTATGTTTATATGTGTGTGAATTGCTTAGGGTCTCGTTGCTCAGATTTCTGTAAATGGTGAAGTGAAGTAACTTATTGTGGCATGTGGAAGTCAGTTACAGAAACTGATAATGTGAATTAGTGTTCTGGTAAATCCTATCGACGATGAAAGTCTTCCCAAAAGTTTTCAGGAAAAATGAATGTTTGGACCCTTTTATTCTATCATAAACCATTCATAACCGTATAAGGAGATGAGTTCATTGCTTTAGAAAAGGAAATATTTAATGACCATGAAATTTTTAATCTTCTGTAGTCTCTATATTTTTGTGTTTGTTTTAATCGTACGTACGCGTATAAAATACTAGGAATTACCCCCCCAAAGCAACTTGATATATGCTCTGGTTGATTTAGTGTTAAATTGTTAAATAGGACTGTTGTTGTGAGGACTAACTCTGGCATTTCATAGTTTGACAGTACGTTTTTCCCATTCTAGAGAAGGTTAGATAAGATAGATCCTAAACAAATTGGTCGGCGTGGAAGTGGTAGGCGACTGTGATCTGACAAAAGCAATCCATCAAAAACTTTTCCTAATGCAGATTCTTTGAGGGATGCTTCATGTCGAACGGCATGGAAGAGATTCTCTTGTAAGAAAATGAGTTTCGTTCACCCAACATAATCGTAGTTTAAAATTCTTAACTGATACAAAAATTATAAAATATAGTGGAAGATTAAACCTTAAAATCAAGTGTTCTAATGCTGGATTGGAGGTGTTTCGTAGTCAAGGTGGGTAATATCTAAAAGAGAGCATGGCTGAAGTGTTGTATAACTATCTGGGTCTTTTTATCTTTGTTCTATAACAGATCGGGATACTAGCTTCTGCATTTGAATGTCATTAAATAACGTTCCACTGTGTCGAATACAATAAGTATTGCTAATAATCAGAATTGTGTGGTTGTGAATGACTGTAATCAAAATGATCTACTTTTGTATCTTTTTGACTACAAATTCATTTACTTGTATGTAATACGCAGAAAAATTGGAAATGACTGATAATCGAGGGATGTTGATTCAACAAATGCATGCTATGGAGGAACTGCTGCTTTGTTCAATTGTGCCAATTGGGTGGAGAGCAACTCATGGGATGGGCGATATGGACTTGTTGTTTGCACAAGACAGCGCTGTAAAAGATCACTTCCACAGTCATGGTCTTTGGACTATATATTTAGTAACAGTGAACATGTTTCCCATTCCCTTTTAAATGTGCTCTATTTTAAGAACTAGAAGTTATGAACTCAGATGCATATCCTATATTGTGTGTACCTGATGTCAATTTAGTCTCAACTCAAGCATCTGTCAATGATGAGTTCCTTTCTCAGGTATATTCTGAAGGACCTGCTCGGCCTACTGGTGGAGCTGCCGCTATTGCCATGCTAATTGGTCCCGATGCTCCCATTGCTTTTGAAAGCAAATATGAGAGGAAGTCATATGGTTCATGCCTATGACTTTTACAAGCCAAATTTGCCAGTGAATATCCAGTAAGCTGTTTAGTATCTTTGCACTTTTGTGTCAGAGAACTTAACTTAGGACTAAGGGATTTAATGTTTGAAAGCTTACTTCCATTTTCCCCACCAGTGTGAAAGAAATCATTGCAATTTTCTTTTCGTTTGAGAAAGTTTTACGAGGGATGACATTTTACTGAGTCCATTCTTTACTTGTGTTTTGACTAATTACAATAAATCCATGTGACTTATGTTTTATAGGTTGTTGATGGAAAGCTTTCTCAAACTTGTTACCTTATGGCCCTTGATTCTTGCTATAATATCTTAAGTCACAAGTAAGCTTCTAGTGTTAATATAGTTTTTTTCTGAAATTTGGTTTGTAAATTGTAAATTTAAACCAATCACATTATAGCATTGCTCTTTTGCAGATATGAGAAACTAGTGGGAAAACAATTTTCTATTTCTGATGCTGAATACTTTGTATTTCATTCTCCATATAACAAGGTATGGCTACGAGGATCTCACTTAATATCTTAACAACGCACAATCCCCCTCTCACTAAGAATGCTTCGTATAATAATCTATGATTTCTCTACTTAATTGATGCCTACATGAGCATTTTTTCACGCTTATATCATTCGCGAGTTATTGCAGCTTGTTCAGAAAAGTTTTGCTCGTTTGGTGTTCAATGACTTTTTGAAAAATCCCAGGTTCTTTTTATCTTTTCATCTCTGGAAACCTTTTCAATTTCAAATTTTTCATGTATTGGTAGTGTTTAAAAGTTGGTTATGATTACAGTTCTGTGGATGCGATTGCCAAAGAAAAGCTGCAACCTTTTGCAACATTATCTGTTGATGAGAGCTATCAAAGTCGGGATCTAGAAAAGGTCTGAGAGCTCTAAATATAGTTTGGGAAGTGAAATAATATTCTTCTGTTTCTCTTAGTCACTCATTTTTCTTTTTGGTTGGAGGGCAAAGATTTTATTTCCCATTTATGTAATTATCAAGAAAATGGACAATTTGAAACTTTTGCTAATGGTGTAAAGTATTCTTGATTTACAGGCATCCCAGCAAGTGGCAAAGCCGCAATTTGATGCAAAGGTGCAACCAACCACCTTGATACCAAAACAAGTTGGCAACATGTATACCGCGTCACTTTATGCAGCTTTTATTTCACTTATTCACAACAAGCATAGCACATTGGTGAATGTTCTAAACACTACCTTAGTTAAATGTAAGTATCTTTTCAACGAAGGTTTGTGCTTCTGATTAAGATTTACATTTTACAATTTGTAGGACAATAAGAGGGTGATACTGTTCTCATATGGAAGTGGCTTAACTTCCACAATGTTCTCCTTGCAACTACGTGAAGGTCAATCTCCATTTAGCTTGTCAAATATTGTCAAAGTGATGGATGTTGCTGGAAAATTGAAGTCAAGGCATGAGGTATTTTATCCTTTGAGAGTCTTAAGAAAATAGAAGTATTACACGGTGCCTACCATATTTAAGATTTACTTTGAATATATTACTCTCTGCTTCTTCTGCAATACATTAATGCGTCAATTTTTTCACATAAAAAAAGAAACATTTGATTTTATATAAAATAATCGAGTAACTAGTTCCTAAGTTGATAAAAATACACCGTTTTTGTGAAAATTTTTGTTGTTTTCATCTTTTAGTTGTGTCTCCAGAAATTTGACTAAGTTAGAATAGTCTAGAATTTTTTTTTCACCATCTTGTTTGAATGCTCACGAACACAACCTTTGTGGGTTTTTATGCAGTTTTCGCCAGAGAAATTTGTTGAAACCATGAAGTTAATGGAATGTAGGTATGGTGCGAAGGAGTTTGTAACAAGCAAGGACACTAGCCTTTTATCTCCAGGCACATTCTATCTCAGTGAAGTTGACTCCATGTATAGGAGATTCTATGCTAAGAAAAGTAGTGAAAATGATTTGATCACCAATGGTCACTGATGTTTACTTAGAGGATGTGTAATACCTAGAAGCCACAAAGACAACTTTGTCTAGCATTTAGAGATTATTATTGATTACATTAGGCTTTTTGAGAAGCATTAATTATGACTAGGGTAGCAGTATATTGATTGTCAAAGTATGTTACTTTAAATAAGAGGTATAATATATTTAAATTACTTTTTAAATGGTAATGTTATCACTTGAAAATTGTTGAGAGGAAAGAGTATAGTAATCTTGTTTTACCTTTAATAATATTTAAAAATTATAATACAAAATATATAATAAAAAAACTGATGTGAAAAATAATAAAAAATTAAAAGATAGTGGAACAGTGGAAAATAAACTAATAGATAGGAGAAGTGGTTATCATTTTATTATTATAATTCAATTTTAACTAAATTTAATACAAACTTGTAATTAATAATTGAGTAGACAAATTATAAAGTGAATTTAAATATTAAGTAAATATCAAGAAAAGAAATTTGTACTTATAATTTTTTTTATGTAAGAAATTAAAATCACTTTAATAACATGAACATTTACGTTAACCTATTATCATTTTCAAGAAATACGTAATATTTTTATCTATGAAATTTTATATTTTCTTCAAATTTTACCAATTATAACTTATATGCGATGAAAAATAATATACGAATTTCCTTTTTAAAAAAAAAGTAATATAAAATTTAAAAGTTAATAATTCTTTTTATTCCTTCTCAAAAAAAAGTAATATAAGAATTAAAAGTCAATAATTCTTTTTATTCGTCTTGGTTTCAAAATATGAAATGAAATATCTCTAATTTTATAATAATAAAATGTAAAAATAGTGAAATGTTGTTTCTATCCGTTTCATTTCCAAATATATATCTCATCTGATTAGGACTATATTTTAATTCACTTTATTTCAGTTTCTCTCCAATCTAAAGCTCAAACATATATTTTTAAAGAACTGGTAAAAGTCTATATGATGATTTTGGTATCATTTGGTGAAATCACTTATAATAGGATATGTGTCTGGATTCTTTTATTTTTTAGGTTATGTTACGGTGGAAAATTTTCTTAAACTAGTTTCAAAATCTTTGATAAAGGACACATAGCATGATTATGAGTATAAGAGTCCCTACATGATTTCTGAAATGGTTATCCAACAGTGTAAAACAACCTTTTTTTTCAATAGAAAATAGTGCGATAAGGGAAGTTTTGAATCCAATATTATACAAGATTTTGGATCCGACATTTACGCCTTGTATTTATATACAAATTCTACTATTGATAAAAAAAAAGTATAATAGAATATATTAGCATGAGTATAGTCTTCATCATGTTAACAAACAACTATCCTGTTTTGATAATTTGACAACATCAAAATGTTGAGAGGCCAAAACCATCCATTTTAAATGTTAATAACTAAAATGAAATTTTACTTAAATAAAGGATTAAAAATATATTTTAGTTGAAAAAATTACAAAGTGAAATTTTATGTCATTATTTAGTTAATTATAATATTACTGACATAAACATTGTTAATGACAAGTATAAAACGTAAGAAAATAAACTAAAATTCATAAATGAAAAAAAAATTGAATAACTAAAAAGATTACTTAAATTTAAAAAAGTAAAAACACATTTCACCATTTAATATTTAATAAGTAAAACTTTATACAAAAAGTTAAAAATAATTTAATATAAACAAAAGTTTTACAGTGTTTTCCTTTTAAGTCCTGGTGTTTTGCATTGAATTTTCTAGTTTTCTGATGGTGTGTGTGATGCAGCATAAATTAATGGTGTATAGCAATGAAAAGAGTTAATTAAGGCAGAAAGGTCAACTTTAGGAGGCCCTCTCGAATCATCTCTGTTGTCTGATTGGTCTAAAAGGAGACCACCTCTTCTTGGTGTGGTCCAGGAATAAGGTGGATGAGAATTGGTAGATCAGATGGACCAGGTCGTAACACGTGTCAGCCCATGGTTCCTTCACAGGTTTGATGAAATTACAATAGATAAGTTTTCCACTTGGAGATTTATACCTGGACCCCACCCAGCCCCTACAAAATTCCTTATTAATACTCCTACAGCTTATTGTCCTATGCAACTAACTACCCTTTCAAAATAATGATAAATACAATATAATGGATTCTTATCAAATTTACATCTACACGTAACAACAACTCCCAATTATCACACAATTTCATCACCAACAATATTATCTTTTCATTTCAGATTTTCTAATATTCTTATACAACCATCTCAACCCATATAAAGGGTACAAAATAAATAATTAAGGTTTAATTTATTTTAGGTATCAAAAGTAAAATATATATATATATATATATATATAATGTAGTTTTCTTTTATAAAATAAAAAATTTAATTAACTTTTTTAAGTATGTAATAAATTTAGGTGTTTTTAATATGACTGTTTTTATTTGATTTTTTCATACATTGTGTAACAATATACCATATATATGGCATTGTTCATCATAAAAAAAAATGTGATATTTTGAGTTAATTAAAATGATATTATATTTAATATAAAATGATAAGTAACTTAAATTATCACCAAATGATTATTTCAGTTGATGAAATATTTATTATTTTTGATAAAAAAAAATCATTAATATATTATTTTATATTAATTACAGAAACATTGTATTTCTTATCACATAAAAATAATGGATAAAATATAATCAGATCATCGTCTTAGGATTGAACTGAAAAATATAACAATTTTTAGCAATCAAGGAATAAAAATTAATAAATATTGAATTTAAAATATCCAAAATTATTATACACTTAAAATTTAATTAAATTTAAATAATAGTAAGTGAAATTAATCTCCAAAAATTACTTTACAAGTATGGTACAAAAATCACACAATTTAAATCATAAAGTTTATTATGAATACTTGCAATTACAATTTAAGTTAATCAATTTGGCATACTGTGATTCTGTTTTATTGGATTGATTGCTTTCTACAAAACATATGTGATTTTTTAAATAAATTATTATACTGTTTTTTTATTTAATAACAATATAAAAGACTATTTGCATGATAACTGTATATACTATTTATACATACGGCAATATTTGATGTTAGTTTGGAAAAATATATAACATGTTCTCCTATATTATAAAATATATGTGATGAGATTTCTTTTTATGTAAAAACATCTTTTTATCTCTTATTTATAAAATAAAAACAATACATTGTAAATAAAAATATAAAGTAGACAGTTTACTTTTTAAAAACTAAAAGTAAATGTCAATATATTTCTGTTAATCAAAAATATATTTTGTTGAATTATTATAACATTATTAAAGAGATAACAAAATATTATAAACTCAGAGTTAATTGATTCATATATATGATAGAATAAAAGTATTATAGAGAGTAAAAAATGATAAACCACAGTCAGATTTAGTATTTTGTGAGCTAATGATATATTATAATATAAGTTGTATTTAAATAACAGTCTGATTTAGTATTTGGTGAGCTAATGATATATTATAATATAAGTTGTATTGAAATAACAGTGTTTTTTTTTATCAAAAGTAGATATAAATTTTTAATTTATATTTTTTGAAGTTATAAAACCTTAAGTAAATTATGTAAAATTAGATTTAATTAAAAAGTTTATCCAAGGATATTAAGAATAATGTCTTTAACATTGGAGAGATGTTAGTGTTTGAAGTAGAAATATCTTTACACTTTTTATCCGTGTATTTAATTAATGATTATTTATATGACATTCCATTTGTTGTAGTGCATTTTGGTGTTTTAGCCACCACACCTAAAACATCCCTCTCTGCTCCTTCCTTGAATTTCACTGAAGCCTACCCAACAAAAAAAAAAATTAATCTTTTGTATCCCCAGTCTTCCAAATCTCTCTGGATTAATCTTCCAATTCAAAATCAGTGAAATGGCGTCCAATCAGGAGGAGCAGGACATGGATCAAGACCAAGATGGAGGAACAACGGACCTCAGCACCAGCGATGTCGACGCAGACAAAGCCTTATCCCAAAGCACCAACCTCAATGGATTTCAACAACACTTCCAAGACAAAGCCATAGCCTTCCAAGCCTTGCCGCTCAAAAACGAGCCAACGGATTCCGACCCTGACCCGGACCCCAACGCGCCCAATCCTCCTCCACCGCTGCCGACGATGCAGCTTCAGCTCAAATCGCCCAGGCGCTCCTCCACCAAGGACCGCCACACCAAAGTCGAAGGCCGAGGCCGCAGGATCCGAATACCCGCCACCTGCGCCGCCCGGATCTTCCAACTGACCCGAGAGCTGGGCCACAAATCCGACGGCGAAACCGTCCGGTGGCTCCTCGAGCACTCCGAGCAGGCCATCATAGAAGCCACCGGCACAGGCACGGTGCCAGCCATCGCGGTCTCTGTCGGCGGCGCGCTCAAAATCCCAACGACCTCGAGCGCCAACCAAAACAGGGGCGAAGAAGGCGCGTCTAACAAGAAACGGAAACGCCCTTCTAACAGCGAGTTCGTGGACATAAACGATACCGTTTCGCAGACGTCCGGTCTGGCCCCGGTTCAAGTACCCCAAGGACTGGTCCCGGTCTGGGCCGTTAGTAACCCCAGCATGGTTGTCCCCGCCAACACGTTCTGGATGATCCCGCAGGCCGCGACCACCAGGAACCCCTTGGGCGGAGTTACGGGCCCCTCCAGCCACCAGCCTCAGATATGGGCCTTATCTCCCTCCGTGTTGAACGTGGCGGCCAGGCCCATAACGCCTGTCGTGACAACAACGAATATTCCAGAAGCTTGGTCCGTCATGACGGCCTGCTGTAACGGTTCAAACTCAGCAGCGGTGAGTACGAGCACTGTGGGAGCTAGGTCGTCTACCAATTCCAGCATGGCCCCTAGCGTTCCTTCCAGCGCCACCAAGACTCAGACGCTGAGGGATTTTTCCCTCCAAATTTACGACAAGCAAGAGTTGCAGTTCTTGGGCCGCTCTGGCCCAAACGCCAACCCATGAGAAACACGTTAATCCAGCATTAGGAACCTTTTTTTTTTTTTCTTTTGTTTAGAGTTTCTCTTGAATAAATGTGAGCATGTGCAAATAATGGAGAGTGACTACTGTTGGTGGTGTTTTCGCAGTTTTAACTGGTAGTGATGATTGCCATGTTTGTTTTCCGTATGATTGCATTATATATGGTTTTGGC